TTAAAAAATGTGATGAAATGACAGTTTGTGCTTGCTAAATATGTTTATATAAATACAAAAAAACTTTCAATATGAGATATATGAAACATAACTTACTGCATTGATTTGATGATTTTTTGAATTCAACAAAATTGTAGTACAAGACATAGCACTTTCTCGCAAAACTTTCCAATTGGACACACTATTATACAGAATAAAAGACTAAAACTAACTTAATTGCACTAGCTTAAACTTCTTTTATCAACGTTTTTATCGTTGTGCAAATATTTTCCTTTTCTTGGAAATAGTTAGATAATATTTTTTTGGAATTGGTTTTATCTAATCATATGTAATTACTCCGAGGTTTTATCTAATCATATGTAATTACTCCGAGGAGTTCGCGCATGAAGTTTTGCAGAATAATTTTTACAGCAAATGTGACACATTTACATTGATTATGTTTACGAACTTTAAATTAAATAAATAATATTGCATTTTTATATCTGAAGAATAAAAAAAATATATAATCGCAATTAATCGCATATTAATAAACTCCTAATACATATACTGTAATAAAATTCTTACTTTTATTATGTATATCAAGTATTGATTAAATGTGGATCTTTTAAAAATATATGTAAATGTCATTTTTAAATTATAATTTTTTAATTGTCTTCTCTAGTTATCTCTTTCTTATTCAAAGATTAAAATAATGTTACAATTTTGTTCTATTATCCATGTACATTTGTTTTCCTTTCGGTTATGATTTGAAAATTTGATGTGTTGGCTAGAAATAATATATAAATATAAATTTTTGTTCACGTAAATAAAGAAACAGGCAATCTCACAAAAACAGATTACATTCAGCAAAGAATTGAAATCATTTCATGGCGTACAAGTTACGCGTTACGTTTTCTATATTTTAATTATCGCGTATCCTCTTATCAGCTTTCGGGCTGTCAATCGATCGCCAAAAAAATCCCTATATAAAACGCATGCGAGAATTAAGCATAAAAGTGATCGAAGCGAGTGATGAACGCGTGAATCTAGATTGCATTGAATCATCCATCGTACTGTCAATAGATAACGTGCAAACAGAATCTTTGCGCGTTAGTTAGATAAATCATACGTATATATCGTAGGTATAATTGTAAAAGCTAGATATCCGTATCGCATAACCTGTCACGGTCACTGCAGATTTGTTATAATTTAGAGTTGATCGTTTCTCAATATTTTTTATACATATCTGTGTTTGTGATGTTTGCACCTGCGAAAATATATTTCTTTACAATTTCGTGAGTAAATATCTCTGTATCGATTTTTTTTTATTTTATCGAATAATTCCTGACATTTTTTTTCGGTAGATAAAGTATACACAAAAATGTTGTTAACACAAGTTTTTAAGGCATGTAATTAGTTGGAAGCGCGATGGAATATCTATTACGTGGATAACATTTTACGTTTAACGGAAAAGCAGATATCCAGTCGCGAGAGACTAACTTTGAACCGCTGCCAGGATTTTCAATCGAACTTGCGATCAGAAGTTTCTTGTCGAGACCGTTTAAGATCGATAAAATGCCGTAATCACGTACCGCAAAGAACTACTCCTTTTTAAGATGCGTTTTTTATTCGACCGTCAAAGCACTGGGACTATTATTTTTCTATAAACTTGCACCGCTATTTCAATCATGCCGATATTATCGACGATTAATGCGTTTCTTTTCCTCTTATCGTCGCGTTCGTGTCATTCATATTTTTGTCAACGATTTCATTTTCAAGACACTCCGGCGAGCACATTTATATAAGCGAGTATCATTTTCCTGCACGTTCCCGGCAGCTTCTTTCCTCTTCGTTAGAACTTAGGAGCCATTCGCTGTGCGTGACTGCGAAAGTTTCTCGTATCGCGCTACGGTGACTTTTCTCAGAGATCTTGGGAGAGAAGGCAACTTTCCCAGTGCATACCTCTCGGTGGATCTTGCTTATAAACTGTCGTGAAAATTGCCCCGAGAGATATAGATAATGTAAAACTTATTAATCCCGAGAGTTTGCATGGCATTATATAATGATCAATTTATAATTTCTCGAGGAAAAGCAATGAAGGAAATATGATTTACCAATTATTAAGCGTTAATTAATACTTTCGAACGATTGAAACTAGTTTCGCGATGATGAGGTCCTGTGTCTCGGGAAATTACTATGGTTGTCGTTTCTTTTTCTGTTCCATTTTTTTACGAGTACAATGTGAGAAAATTTGTCGAAAATGGAGACGACCGTGTCCATCTTGGTGCGGCGGATTTCAGAATTACTCGCGAGCTGACGAGTTCGTAGATCCTCTGGAACCGGCAAATCCTGTTGGCAGACAAGAGCTTCTGAGATCCGCCACCATCCATCTTCTCAGCTCTTCGTTAGGAGAGCCGTCAGTGGCGTCTGACTGTTTAAAGAACTTTCCCAGGATGTACTGTGATTTCCGTACCTGAAACTTTTGCTTACCCGAGAGCCGACGAAAAGGAGAAGCGGTACATAGACGAACAATTCTAGACGGAGTTGTTGCCGAGTTCCTAGGTGAAATACCTGAGGGGAAAAGAATTCAGGACGGAGTAAAACGGGAAACACCAACTTCTAAATGTAAATGTCTCGTCGGATTTAGATTCGCGATTAAGCATAATTCGTTTTGCTGAATAATCTCAAATAAAATCACTTCTCGCAAACTATGGCAATAAATCTAATACTAAGCTGTTTACGTTTTCCTCGTTATAAAGTTTTTACGCTAAACAACTATCGTGAAACTTGTACCGTGAAATATGTCTATTATTTAACTGTTTCGTTAATTAGATACATCGTGCTTGAATTTCTTGTGCATGTTGGGGAGTTTACTTGACTTGCAAATTGATAAAATATTATTCTTTTCGAGTTGCATTAATATTCCAAAAATACAGTTTCCAAGAATTATAGAAATATCACTACGATGTATTTTGCACGAAAAGTGGTACAACATTTCGAGTAAAATTTAAAATATTTTGCGTGGGTTAAATAAGAAAAAGGAGAGAGTTAAATAAGAAGAAACTTGAAATGGTGCAATTTATTCTGTCCGAACGGTCTGTTCCTAGCTTAATTTGAGGAAGTACATATAAGCCGGAAAAAGAGACAAGTAAAAAAACGGAAGAAGCGCCATTTCCGCGGATCCACATGTTGTGGAAAAAAAACAATGGTAACGAATCTAAAAGGAAACAGTGAAAGCAAGATATCCAGGGTAAACGGATCAAAATTGGAATTTGAAACAATTTTATTAATAATTTTAAAATACGCGCTACATACGCTAAATACGCCTTCGATCTTGAAATTTTTTTAGAAATTAAATCACGATTTTTCATTAGGCCATAATTAATTACAAGTTAATAGAATTATAGGATTGATAAAATAAAAGCTAGATATCTTGTTAATAAAATTAAGATGAATAATATGTATATCAACACAATATAATAATAGAATCTTTATAATTTTAATTTATGTTAAAACCTTGCAATACAACAATATTTATCCGTTCGATAAAATAATAAAAAATATTTTCTAACGTTAATAACTCTACTTAATAATTCTACTGATAAATAATTTCTTACAAAGTTAATCTACATCTTAGATTGTAAAGCAAGTCTTTTGAAAATTACAAGGTATTCGCAGATTCTATTTCAATCTTTGCATTATTTTCTTACGAGCGAAATCGCGCTGAATGTCGCATTTGGCAATTAGACGGAAAAGAGGAGAAATGCTGGGGTTAAAAGAGCAATCGAGCCGGATGGAATTGCTTTTTTTTGTCTCATTTATCAGAGAAAGTACACTTAAAAGAACTTGGAGTAGAAAAAAATGAGAAATAGTGTCGCCACCGAGGTGTTGTTTCGAAACTGCGGTCTGACGACGAAGATTTAAAGTGCAGAGTTAACTCGAAGGTCCTCGAAAGTGTATAAGCTCTGTCGCGAAATGAGCTTAGCCTTAATTGGGAGCCACGTGGGCGTAAAATACCGGCATAACGATATTTATCCATAGCAATCATGATCGTCTTTCTCCCGAATTGGCTATTTATAGCCGCCAATATTTGACGACAATGTTCGTTTGCGAACATCGACGAGGACGAAACGAGATCGACAAGTTAAATTGATCGTAAAATTCTTCCGGGGTTTCGCGGTGCACATCGGCGTTTCACGAGACGAGGAGAATTTTTCGCCGACGAGAGACTCAGCCGCGAATTTCGGGAACGGATGCGCAATGTGCTAATGTGGAAATATTCAATGCAGCAACGTGGAGCGATAAACGGACGACTGCATCCTGCTTTTATGAACTCGTGTCTGCTGAAGCTGTATTAAGCGGGCGCGATGAAATTTTCAACGCGTGAAGGTTGTTGAACTCTTTACTGTCACGCCTTGGATTTTACGGGATTAAACACATAAACTTGCATATATTTAATTATAATATATATATATATATATATATATATATATATATATCTTATAAAGTTTCAAGTTTTCCTTTTGAAAAATTATATTTTAATATAAGGTCTTAAATCGCGAATCGAATGAAAATATTTTATGCTTAAAACATAAGAAAAAAATGTATTTCTGCAGTATGTACAAAAATTGTAACAACTTCAAGCGAAAAATGCAAGAGAATGAGTGCTTTCTCGTTATTAAATTCCACACAGGTCTTTTATCATTTTTGCATTTTATATCGTGCGTTTATCTGTTTATTGTTTGTAAAATTGCAACAACTTGATAATGCAAATTTGATATATTAAATAAAGAGTACATATATTAAATAGAGAGTGTATAAAATTTATATAATATAAATTTTTTTATATTATATAAGCTAAAGTTTTATTTTATTTATAAAAAGTATATACATTTTGTGAATGAGAAAAAAAATAGAGAGAAGAAAATATTTATAATAATTCTTGATGTAATTGTGTAATAATTAACAATAGACTTTAGTCAAGCAATATATATTAAAATATTAATTTTTTTTAATTTCAGGTGGCGTGGATTCATGTTGGTCGTCAAATGCTGCTAACTATTCACAAACATGTAGTCGTGAAAGTACCCAGATTCTCTGTGTCGCATGACAATCAGAAAACATGGTTGCTTCATATTAGTAGCGTGCAACAAGACGACCGAGGTTATTACATGTGCCAAGTAAATACCAATCCAATGATAAGTCAAGTGGGCTATCTTCAGGTCGTTGGTAAATATTATTTTACTAATAATTTTTTAATTAAACAATTTTTGCCAGGGATTTTTTTATTACATTAATAATTAATAAATCTAATAATCAATAAATGTAATATAAAAAAATATCAAATGATTTTTTGCTTTTAAATTTAATATCAAATCTAATTATTGCGATAAAAAGTAATTTAATTACTCTGGACTGTATTTACTCGAAACAGACGCATTTGGAAACACGCATTTAAATGGAACGATTAACAAACGTATATTAATTACATCAACACGTTGCTCTGAATTTTGAATAAAGGGGCTCTTCCCACGCATGTTCCAGTGCCACCAAATATATTGGATTCTCTTTCTACGGAGAGCACTGTGGCAGTTCGGGAACATCAGAATATTACTCTCACGTGCAAGGCCGATGGATATCCACTGCCGAAATTAATGTGGAAACGAGAGGATGGTCAAGTGATAAGCCTCAACAAACACAACAAAGGTATGTCAGGTTGTCAAGTCTTTTCTTATTCGCCGTTGTTGCGTTGTAATATGAATCATTCTCAATTTACTTTACACGTGACATATCGGAAATCCATTTTTACGCGCGGCTCTCTTGATATTTTACGTCCGTTTGAATTACTTTAATGCAACGAGAAGCGCGATTTTATTCGCGATAAAAGAAGTTACGTACAGAGGATTTCGCATGTGATATTAATCAGCTTTATCTATCGTGTATCGTTTATTCGTTTGGACAATTTCTCTTTTCACTGAAATAAATAGGGTTAAATAATTCTCTTTACATAATTATATTTTATTGATATAGATACCTATCAAAATTTTAAATATTCTATAAATATTTTTAAATATTTTATAAATATTTTTAAATATTTTATAATCTTATTATTTTATATATATTTTTAACTGGTACTTTCGTGACAGATACAACATGTATGGCATATCTAGCATTCGAAAACTTAATGTTGTAACATGTTGCGCCGAATTACATATCTGTTTGGAACGTTCAGAGAATTTCCTTCGTTTATGTAGGAAATTCGAAAACGATTCCAACGAGTTTTCCCTTACTATGTCTCTTGTCTGCGCGAATCGAAACTTGGAAGCACTTTTACAAGGGGAAACGAACGTATTTGTAATGCAGCCCAAGTTTAATGCGGAAAGTAATTTTTGGTACGAGGATGTTCTTCTGTTACGTTTCTCTGAAAGTCAGACCGAGTCCCACGAGTCATGGCATCGACGTCTCACGCGAGTAGTAACGGATCGGCCAACATTTGCTCGAAGAAATTCGAAGTGAATTTTCATCAATTACGAGCGTAGATATATGTCTGGATCAGCGATTCGGGACATTAAATGTGAAATAAAAATGGAAAAAGTCGCATAAATGCCCTTCGCAATTTAACAATTTCATGTTTATTCAACAATCGAATTTATGAAAAGTTATTAATTCGATAACAGCAACGAGAGATGTATGATTGCAGATAGATTGATTGACGGGAGAAATATCCCGACGAATATTTAGTTATTCGTCGACATACAATCATGTTTTATTCCATCAGATACAATCACTTAAATTTACAGACTGATCAAGTGAATTATTTATATAATAAATGTCAAATTCTGACGTATAAATATGTAGATGTTAAGAAAATCTTTAACTGTAATTATGCTGTCATCGTTAAATATAATGCACAGATTTTTTTCATGTTTATTGGCTCAAGTTGATTTAAATTCAAGGCATGTCTTTTTTATGTGACAAACTACAACTTTTAGCGGAATTTTATTAGACTCTCAATAATTATTCGCTTGCGTGTTCTTACCATCGATCCATGGCATTTTTCCGTTCTGCTTTCGTGATTAATGTCGCAAAAATCTCGAGAGATCTTATAAAAACAGATACTATCAATTTCATCAAGGTTTATATACACATTTTTTTATGAATCTTTTTAATTATGCGAAAACGGCTTTCGTGTATCCACTATTTTATTCATATCATGCTAACTTATGAATCACAAGGTACCTTGAAGATTCTGGCAATAATTCTGGATTAAAACGTTCTTTATTTAACATAAATACTTTATTATTTAAGATGTTAAATACTCGTATTAAGAGTATCCATTAATTATAATTAAAGTGTATATATACTCATATACTTAATGTTTCGTACGTACATCTGCTCTAAAATATTACGAGAAATACGCTTCGCTTCCCAAAATGAATCGCATTCACGAGAGAAACAATTAATTACCGGGGTCAAAATTACGATACCGCGAATTCGACCTCGAGAAATTGCGAAGGCAATAAATCGCGGCAATGATGGCTCGTAAAGCACAGCGCATTTATCTAATATCTACATTGTGCTCCCACGCGTGTTATGTCGTTATCGTCTTTGCACGTTTAGCGTTAAACTTGGGGGAGAGAGAGAGACAGAGAAAGAGAGGGTGAGAGAGAGCAACTGTACACGCGCCATCGGAGATTGCCCAGAGGGTGTTACGTTCATGGTAAAGCAATAAAGTGCGATAAACTGTGTAAGTTTCCACCCACCATCAGTGCTATTAGCAATGCAATTATCGCCCGCTCTCCGGCAAGTCAGTAAGTCGCCTTTAGAACGTACATCTCGACTATATCTTTCCCTCATTCGTCTAAACGCGATCTAGTTTCTTCATTGAATAATTACAAAGCTGATGTCGTACACTTTTCGTTTAACACGAGTCGTCGACTTTGACTTGATCAAACGAAACTCGATCTTTTTTCATTTCTATTCGCGTCATTTCGAGCGAATCTTTAGGAAAAATTAACGAACTTATAATCGGGATTAATATTTTTCAAAATGAACCCTTCTTGGTTACACAGTAAAAAATAAAATGTTAATTATAACATTTTTCACATGTCCCAGAAAGTCCACTCTAAATTTTAAGTTAAAATAACTCATTCGTCATTACTTATCGACAAACTAAAAATATTAAATAATTGACATAATACTTTACATTTTTGTTATCGTGACTTTAAGTGTAATGTATAATAATATACAAATTTAAAATTTAAAAACATGAAAAAATAGTTGCAGTAACTCGTAAAAAATGTTGAGGACATTAACATGTAATAGTAATTATTTTAATTGAAATTATTTGTAATAGAAACATTTGATTTTAGTAAATTTGATTATTTTTGTATGTCAAAGTTTAAGATTATTTAAGGACTTTAACTTTTCTTAAAATGTTTTCTTAAACTGACTCTGAGACATATTGATTGTTTAAAATGATTATGTTAACAATACTCAAAATAATAAAAAAAAAATCCATTTCTAAGAGACATATACAGAGTGTCAAGTTATAAAGTTGACATAAATCTAACACATGAAAACGTTATAAAAATAATAACATATAGGTTAATTTTATATTAAAGTACTAATCAAAACATGGTAACACAAAAGAATTTTAACATACGGACGCACAATTTTTTTTGCACGCGCTGCATATGTGGTAGCAACATTATTCTTCACATTCGACAATACATTCGCTATGGATTCACCGATCGAATATCACGTTCTCTCCTGTGAAAACGTGCCAGCGGGAAATCTTCAGTGGCCGCAATCTATGAATTATTGCAGTCAAGTGCGATAAACTTCGGTAGGTTTCGCTCCGCAGCGTCGACTGGTAAATGCAATTATCCGTTTTCGCGATTCCTTTCGTAGCCGTACATCGCCTCCTCGTATACTCGAGACGGATTCCACGATAGTATCCCCGGCGCCATCGAAAATCCGCACATTTTCAGCCTCGTAATTGTTAAAACGCCACGAGTTATGCGCGTGCGAAATTCCCGATGGGGAACCCGTTGGCCGCGAATTAACGCCGCGAGATACGATAAACTATGTAATGCAATTGTTGCGCCGCGCGCAATTCTGTCTATCAATCTGCTGCGATCCCGCCGAGTTGCGTCCGCATAAATATTTCGACGTAAACGAACAACGATCATCGTCACGCGGCATCATCGCCACGCGTTCGCAGAATTTATTGAAATAGCAGTACACGAATTTAATGCAGATTATCCTAATTGGCTTAACGCGAGCTTTAAAACTGCGCGTTTAAAATCGATTGCATCGACGTTTAAACATGAATCGGCCCTCGAATTAGAAACCACACTATTTCATACATATGGGGCATATTAAACAATTCATGGCGATACCATAATTCTGCGCGCTTCGCGAATGTATATATATATATATATTTTACGATATAAAACTATCCCGTTCCATTTCATTTGAAGCTTAATCCTGGAATATTTAACCGCGGCTCTCCGCATAACCGCGATACGGTTTGAAATGCGTGATAATCTTTTGTTCTCGCTTTCTCATAATTAATGTATAAATGAAATTTATATCAATTGTTAATATCCCGACATGATCTCTTTTCCCTTTATTTCTGCGCGCACTGTATATGAACTCTTAGTACGTCGCGTGTAATGTCATATTAATGTTTCCCGGGGTAAAGGTGGTCCTTTTTTTTCGTGTCATTAAAAAATCCGAATTTTTACCGAGCCTAGGAATCCATTAAGGCAATGTATCTCGTCAAGGGAGGCGAGCAAAGTCATCGCGAAGGCAGCAAGAAAGCAGGACAACCGCAAGGAAAACACGAGAGGTACATCGATGCAAACAGCGGATTAGCCGGGGGGATTTATACAGCGGGGAAGAGCGCTATCCTCGCGTAAAGCACGGGCGAAGGGCTTTTTGCTCTCGACCTCGGCGCTCTTCTTAAATATTGTAGAGATTAATCAACTCTCTTTTCCGAGCCCTTCTCGCCCTTCGAGCTTCTACCACGAGTCGCGAGAGAAGGAAACGTCCGTCAGGGTGTCCGGTGGGGAAAGGAGGAGAGGGAGTCGCGAGGGGTGAGAGGAGGGCGCTCGCGGGCGGGGGTGCGAGGGCGGTGGCACGAAAATTATGCGCACACACGGCACGTCTATGAAATATGCACTGGTTGCTAAAGATACGCGACGGTCTCCTTCGGCGTGATTCCGACACGGAATTAAAAGGGTCTCCCGCTGTTGCTGCTGCCGCTGCTACTAATGTTGCTGTCGTTGCCGTTGCTGCCGCCGCTGCTGCTCGTGCTGCTGCGGAAGAACGCGTCTCCATGAGAAGCTTAGGGGCTGCAGCGGCGGAGCTTTACGCGGTTAATTTCTTGGAGGAATTTTGCCCCTTCAGTGTTGGCGCGTATATATTATTAGGAATGTTTGCGAAGCAAACTTGAGTTCTGTCGATTATGTAATAATGTCTAAAAGATAAATTTAAGCAAGCTCCGAGATACGAGATTAGGTATTTACGAGAAAAAAGATTAATGGTTACGCAATTGGAATCTTAATAATTGAGGATTATTTTATCGATATCAATTATTCTTACGCTTATGAATAAAACATCGGGAAGGATTTTCGCGACGCGACTGAGATTCGCAAATAATCTAATCCGCGATGAAGTTCACGTGAGTGTGTAATATT